TCATATTCCAAGCTGGACCCTCGGAGAGCGTTAACATGGGCTATCAACAGGTTGCAGGAAGTTCGTGATCTGACTCGCAAGGGTTGTTGCACGCCGTACTATTTCCAACTTGTGAGATCTTTGTTGAAACTTGACACGAAGAGCCCTTTCAACACGGTCTGGAAGACTGGCGCCAAGTTCTGGAACTCGCTTCTCCGAATGGTGGGAGGTATTATTCTAACAGGTGGCGCTGTTGGTATTGTATACATTGATTAGTTGCCTGGTTTATGCAGGTTTTGGCATGACAGAGTGGTCTGTTCCAGCAGTCGCACTCGCAGAAAGAAGTGGAGCGAGTGGCGCGACCAGTCAATGGAGGCAGGTGCGCGCCAAGCTCGCGGATACATGAGGGGCCGCATCGTACCGCAAAGACTTCAACACAAAGGACCAGCTGACATCGCACTGGATTGTTGCTCATTGTCCTCACGCATGGCGGCCGAACATGGGAAGTGGGCGAAGGCTTGGGGCTGCGACGGCCCCAGTTCTGCGCGACCCACATTCGGAGGCCAGCGTAGGCCAGTGATGGAGCTCCCTAGTGCAGAATGCGCGAAAGAAATCAGCAAGCGTTTCAAGACACACACTTGTCAGCCTGACGGGTGGCATCCTCGTCGCTGCAGTCTTCTCGGTGACAGATCTCGTGCAGTCTTTGGCAAGTTGCTTGTTTTAATGGAGATGCGCGGTCAGACCCCATGCTCGACGCAGAAGTTGGCGGTACAGTTGAATCACAAGCCCCTTGGTGGGAGACGTCCACTGGGGTTTTACCCAGCACCAGCCCGCCTCTTGGGAAGACTGTGGGGACATCGACTACGGCGTTGGGAGAGATACCAAGGCCTTGGTGGCCAATGCAGCATGTCTCAAGGCAGGGGGCCAAGTGACACGGTATGGAGACAGGCAGCGATTTCTGAGGGCTCAAACAACATGGGCCTCTACTGCATTGCAGTGATGTGGGACATCCTCCAGTTCTACGAGCATGTACCGTGGGACCTGCTGGAGTCCAGCAGCGCGCTCACAAATTTTCCCGCAGCGGTTCCAAGACTGTCGGTGCAGACGTATCAATGGCCCAGATACCTTCAGTACGACGGCATGCTGAAGGACCCGCTTGTCCCACAGAGGGGCATTGTCGCAGGGTCTGCCAGTGCGACACTCGAGGCTAAGATGGCTCTCTTCCCCATGATGAATGATGAGATGGACTTGAGGGACGATGCCAACTGTATGTTATCTCTCCATGTTGATGATCTCTCACAGCACCAATGGGGTGACACCATGCTTACAGTTCTGCAAGAGATGAAAGTACATGTGCATCGAGTGGGCCACCGTCTACAGAAGGAGTTGGGACTATCGCTGGCCACTCACAAGCTGAACATGGTTACTTCGTCGGGCAGGATGACAGAGCTGGCAAGAACTATGCTGGGCAAGCTTGGGGGCCCTGGTGGATATGGTCTCCGCAATCTCGGCATCGACTTCGCAGGTGGCAAGCATAGATATCATCCAATGGCTCACACGACACGAGCGATGAGATGGAGAACGATGTTTTCCAAGCATAAGAAGCTGGCAGCTATGAAGTTCACACATCGTGGACACAAACCAAGGTTGGCTATCACGAATATGGACCCTACGGTGCTGTATGGTGGAGATTTGCATGCGCTCTCACCTGCACAAGTACACAGGCTGCGTGCTCAGGATTCAAAGTCGATGGGTATGTCTATGAAAGGGCTGAACGCTGAACTCGCGTGGGCTCTCACTAGAGTGAAGGACCCCATCCACGCGGCCAGCATGAGCATATTCAGATACTGCTCAGAATGGTGGATGTCCAGCTGTCCTCGGGAGGACCTCCTACGACGACATGATGACGTTCTAGGCCCACCTGTACTGACCAGGTTTTTCCAGGCTGCAATGCAACATTTTAACCCTAAGGCTGCGGGTAAAAACTGGTTTAAAGAATGCAAGGGGCCACTCGGCGATGTTCTCCTCTGGTGCTGGGAGGCGGGGTGGACTGTCCTGGGGCCTACCCCCTTCCCCGACCTCGAGGGTGTTGCCCTAGATGTGCTGAAGTTGGCCCCTGCTTTCATCAGTAAGCGTTTTGAGACCCAGCATATTTTTTTAAAAAAAAAAGGACCCAGAATATTGCCAAGTTTAAGTGCCACACCCACCCCAGCCCCTGTAGCGACCTGATTAATGAACCTGGTTTGTGGTGGGAGCTGGCGGCTAAAGTGTTGGCTAGCAAACATGATTTAGGGCCTAAGGAAGTATGCGCTGCCAGGCAAGTTTTTGGTGGATGCGTCCCGACCGCGGTTGAACTCAGGTCCTGGGGATACTCGTTGGCCCCTGAGTGTAGGTTTGGCTGCGGGGTCCCAGATGCTGTTTTCCACAGAGCCTGGCAGTGTGCTCACGGCAAAATCAAGAGAGAAGAGGTCTTTTCTGAGGCCACCATTTTGCAGGCGCGTGAGGCTGGAGAATCCAGCTTACTGTTCACCAGGTGCTGGCTTGCCCGTCTTCCTGCTGACCCACCTGCAGAGGGGTGGGACGTGAAGTTCTACCAAGGAGGCCTGCAAACGGACCCCTTTGCTTTCTCGCCCAGTGAGAAGTTGTACTCGGACGGACCATGCCTGTGGCCGAATCTGGGGTACTTGGCGAGAGCGGGCTGGGGGGCTGGTCTTGTGGATGCCCAGGGGAACTCCGTCCGAGGCATTTGTGGGTATGTGCCCAGAGTGTTCGGTCAAAGCAGTAAAGCAGGAGAGCTTATTGCCATGATGATGGCGCACCTGTGCGCGGAGCGCGAAGATACCGACGGGCCCAAAGAGCCGCTTGCCGTGGACTTCGCTGCGTTGCTCCGTGGTCAAACCCATCCTGACCAGGTTATTGCGGCCAAGTGTGATGCCGCCCATTTTTGGCGCGAGGTAGCCGCGACTCTCGATGTTGGTGAATGGGTTTCCTTCCACAAGGTGAAGGCCCACAGAGCAGACGACTCTGCCAGCAGCGCGAGTGACAAAGCTGACATTTGTGGAAATAAATATGCCGACTGGCTCGCCAAACAAGGGGCGAGGTCACACGATTTCGACCCTGCGTGTTCTGGCTCTGTAGTTTCCACGGCCGCCCAGTTTAAGGAGCTGTTTGTGGGGATGGGGAAAGTCCTTGCCCTCTGGCCCCCACCCAGTGATCTTTTTGGAGTGCTGGATAAGGAATTTGTGAGACCCCGTGTTCGAGGTAGGTCCCGTACGTCTCCACATATCCCTTACTGGCACATAGATCACTGGCGCTGCAGTCGATGTCTCAGGACAGTGTCACCACGCACCAAGACCCCTTGCATTGGCCTGAATCCCTCCCTCCTGGACGTGCTTAAGACCCCTGGCCATTTCGGGCATTCCCTCCACGTCGCCTTTGTCGTGGAATCTGGTTTTCCTGTTGTGTTCTGTTCCAGGTGTGGATCCTTTGGGACTCAGAAAGCCATCAAGCTGAGGTTGAGGTGTGTGCCGAATGAACTAGCCCTACTCAAGGGCAAGCTCCCCATGACGCAGTGCAGAATTCACTCCCCCCAGCAGGTCAGCGGCACAGCCCTGGGGGAGTTCATCTCTCTGCACTAATATTCTGGGCCAGCGCCCCCGTGCCAGCTGTGCGTTGTATGGCTGACACTCTTGGTACCCGCAGTACCCGCAGGAGGAGGAGGAAGAGGAGGAGGAGAACGAGGAGGAGGAGAACGAGGAGGAGGAGGAGGAGGAGGAGGAGGAGGAGGAGGTGGAGGAGGAGGAGAGGAGGAGGAGGAGGAGGAGGAGGAGGGAGGAGGAAGAGAAGGAGGAGAGAAGGGGCGAAAGAGGTGGAGGAGGAGGAGGAGGAAGAAATGAAAGCGGAAGGGAGGCAGAAGGAGGGAGGAAGCAGGGAGGGAAGAGTGAGGCAGGGGGGGCGGGGAAGGGGGAAGGGGTGCATATAAGAAATAAAGAAGGAGGGAGGAGGAGGAGGGAAGAGGGCGAGAAAGGTTGGACGCGGGAGGAGCGAGGGAGAATTGAGGGAATGAGAGGGAGGCAGTAGGGCAGGAGCATCGGTGAGGTCAGGGAGAAAGCTCTCTCTTTGGCGGCTGGCGCAGCCGGCCCCCGGCAGACACCGCAGAACTTGGCGTGGGCGCAGAGTCGGCATCGACGGCGGCGGTGACGACGTTCGGCGGCCCCCAATCGGCGCGGTGACCGCACTGTATGGTGACTCAACCCTCAGATCTGGGCGTAGCAATTTTGTCCACGACGGACGTGTTTTCCGAATTTGAGCCCTCGGACCATCACATATCGATCGGGTTTGAAACATGCACCATAATAATTGGGTCTGGGGCTTCAGTCGTGATTTTTCGCGATGTCGCAATTCATTATCGGGTACTATCCCTTATACCTCATGCTTTTTGCCCTCCTGACTTACCCAAAGGGTTAGCGGTCCTTTTTCTGGTTCATCCATGCTGTCAGGAAGTCGAACCTCAGGATGTGTGGACCCGGGGTGGCCACGCGGTTCTGGGACTCGGGCCGTTCTCCGAGGGCGCCTCGGGCGCTCGCGCCCCCGGCGGGGCCCCAAAGTCGCGGGGTCGACGCCGTGCAGGGAGGTCGCCTGGGATGTCCAGGGCACCGCGCGGTCCGTCACCGCCAGTGGCCTGGGGAACCCCCGCCGTGGGGGCCGCCCCGCGCAGGAGAGAGAGGGCGAGAATCACAAGAGGAAGAGAGACCGATGTCGCCTTGGAGGGCCCGCGCCGCCACGGCTCGATGTGTGTCGAGATTCTGGTCAGGGCGCCTCGGTGCCTGTTGTTGGTCCCCCCGCACTCGTGCTACGGTGCAGTGCTGCCAACTCCTTCTCCTTTTGATATTGCGGCGCCAGGGGATCCTACCAAACACTTGTGTCACGCTGCGCTGGTGCCGATGCCTCCCAATTTCTCCCTCCCCCCATCTTGGTAATGGGTAAGTGGTGTTTCTCCTCCTTGTCTCACTGCCCCGAAGGTGGACGATTATTACAAGAACGGCATGTGGAAGGATGACGTGATGAAGATGGACTTCACACTCATCAACGCCCACCGCCGCGAGGCTTTGCGTGGCCTTCCTTTCCGAGGGGGAAGAATGGGGTAGCGTTTGGGGGAGGAGACGACGTGGACGGGCGATGGGCGGGGACGGGAGGCGAGGGAGAGGAGCGGGAGGCGAGGGCGGAGGAGGTGTCTCCTGCTCCTCCTACTACTGCCGTGCTTTCTAAACTATACGTGGGCCCGTGGGGCAGGCGCCGCCCGGAAGCAGCATCTGCACCAAATCGGTCCCAGAGCATGTCAGGCGTCGAGGCGGGCGTCGTTCGGGTGTTTTGCTGGAAGTGCCCTTGGCCCAAGGTGCCCCCAGGATTCCCAAGGAGGCCTCCATGGCCTCCAGAGCCACCCTCACGAGGCCCAGGGGGCCTCCGGGGGCTGCAGAGTTGAGCGAAGAGCTGGGGGCACCTTCTGCCAAGGGCACCTTTCTAGCAACCCCCGAATTGTTCCTTCAGGTGTTCGTCGTCGTTCTTCTCTTTCTATTCCCTCCCTCCCTCCGCCATCCAGCGGCGGACTTTGAGACACCGTTCCAAGGTTTCCCTTCGGGCCCTGGATGCGGGTTTGGGAGTGCCAGCCCATTTGCTGTCGGTCTTAGGGCTGTTGCCCCCCGTGCGTTGCGACCTGAAATTTTGACTCCAAGCTCTTTTCCATTCTCATGTTGGGCCTGTGGCCCCTCATGCGCAAGAGGGCTCATCATGCCCTAAGCAGGAGCGTTCTGAAGCTCGCTGCTGGCCGTCAGGAACCACAGGGGTTGCGCGTCAACGCCCAGCCGCCCAGGGGCCTTTCACCCCCAAGGGAAGAGTATCGTCTCAGAGCATCCTCCCTCCGCCATCCTGGGTCAATCCTGCCCACTCTTCCCAGGCCTTCTCTCCTTCCTCCTTCCCCTCATCATTCTTTCCTTCTTTCTCCCCATCATTTTTCATCCCTCCCTCCTCCTCATCCCTCCTGCCTCCTTCCCCCTCATCCCTCCTTCCTCTCTCCTTTCTTCCCCCCTCCCTCCTCCCTCCTCTCCTTCCTCCCCCCCTGCCCTCCTTCCTTCTTCCTCCATCGCCCACCCTCCCGTGTGGCCCGTCGCCGAGGCCGGATCTCCCGACCCCGTGCCGCTCGAGGAGGCGCCGCCCCGTTTTGCCGCCGCCGGGGAGGAGGGCCAGGAGGTGCGAGGAGCGAGGAGGAGAGAGGTGGAACGAAGAGCGAGGAGAGAGGAGGGAACGAAGAGGAGGAGGAGAAGGAGGAGGATGAGGAGCCAGGAGGGAGGAGGAGGGGGAGGAGGGGGTTGAGGAGGGGGAGGGAGGTGGAACGAGGAGCGAGGAACGAGTAGGAATCATGAGCGAGGAGGAGGCGGAGGCGGAGCGAGGAGCGAGGAGCCAGGAGGAAAGATGAGGGAAGAGGTTAGGGCGGATCGATGAGCGATGAGCTGGGACGGAGGAGCGAGGTGGAGCGAGGGGGAGGAGGAGGAGGCCCAGGAGCGAGCAGCGCAGAGCGAGGTGGCAGGAGCGAGGGCGAGTAGGAGCTGGACCAGAGGAAGCCCAGGAGGCGCGACTGATGCGTCCAATCAATCTTCCGTCCCAGGTCCCGTCCCCGTGAGTCTCCGCAGGCATCCCTCTGCCACTGCGAGAGGCGCTCGCCCGAGAGAGTCCAGAGAGCGCTGCTGCTGATGCTCATTTGCCTGCTCCAGCCATGAGCCCTGGAGAGGGAGCCACGAGGGATGGCGATTGTTTGATATCGGCGGGGACAGCGATCCCACGCCGCCCATCGCTGCTGATTTGCTGAGCCCTGACGCTTGACCATGCGATGTTCGCCGCCGCCGCCGCCGCTGCTGCTCCCGCTGCTGCTTCGTCTCCTCTCGTTGCTCCTCCTTCCCCTACTGTTCGCTTTGTTTTCCTGATCCACGGGGCGACCTCCTCGAGCTGGTGAACACGGGGTCCAGCGAGAAAGGCTCGTCGTGAGATGGGGGCCGCCCCCCCAGCCGCATGCTCGGCATCCCTAGGGCAGCACCGCGTCAGGTCAGGCGCTGCGATGGTGCCCTGCGACTTGGCCAACGCCACGGCCTGGTCCGCAGCGGCCTGGTGCCTTGCCCGCTCCACGTCGAGTCGACCCTCCAGTGCCCTGACGATGCTCTCCAGCTCCTCGACGCGGCGGTAGGCGGCAGCCAGCCTGACATCCGGTGCCTGCCGCGCAGCGGCCCGCCGCGCGCGCCGCACAGACCAGAGAGAGCCCCCAGCCGCGGCCTTGTGCTGCTCCGCCGCCTCGAAAGCAGCCGTGCAGCCCGCCGCCGCCATCTGCGCCCACGGAGCACACCCTCGCGCGCGCGCCCGCGCGGCCGAGGGAGTAGCTCTTGAGCCAAAATGCTACGGAGGAGGAGGAGGAGGCGGAGGAGGAGGAGGAGGAGGAGGAGGAGGCGGAGGAGGAGGAGGAGGAGGAGGAGCAGGAGAGAGCAGGAGCAGGAGCAGGAGCAGGAGCAGGAGCAGGAGCAGGAGAGCAGGAGCAGAGAGGAGGAGGAGGAGGAGGAGGAGGAGGAGGAGGAGGAGGAGGGGGGAAGAGGGAGGAGGAGGAGGAGAGGAGGGAGGAGGAGGAGAAAAGAGGAGGAGGAGGAGGAGGAGGTGGAGGAGGGAGGAGGAGGAGGAGGGAAGAGGGGAAGAGGGAGGAGGAGGAGAGGAGGAGGAGGAGGAGGAGAGCAGGAGGAGCAGGGGAAGTAGCAGGAGCAGGAGCAGGAGGAGGAGCAGGAGGAGGAGGAGGTGGAGGAGGAGGAGGAGCAGGAGCTGGAGCAGGAGCAGGAGGAGGAGGAGGAGGAGGGAAGAGGGAGGAGGAGGAGGAGGAGGAGGAGGAGGAGGAGGACACGGATCCCTTCCGCCATGGATGAGGGGGGAGGCATGGAGGGAAGCCGACGCGCGACCCGCGTGCTCGCGTCGCCGCTGGCCCACCCGGAGCAGGTGCAGGTGCCCGATTTGCCCAAGGCGGTTGTGCCGATGGCCTCTTTTGCAGCAGCGCGCTTGGCCCCGCCCGCCGCCGTCGTCGTCGTTTTCGTCCTGTCGCCGCCGCCGCCGTCGTCGCGCTCCTCCTGGGGGAGGTGCGGGCGTTTGATGAGCCGCCGTGCTGGAAAACGATCGCACGCAATGGCATGGGCGTGTGAGGAACGAAGTGGCCTGCAGTTTGTGATGGTTGTGATCTTCAGTGCCTGACGGTAGTGTCCCGGGAACAGGATTGCAATGGGCAAGGCTCTCGGCGTCGATGAAGCCATGCCCAAGGAGCACTAGCAGCCGATCAGAGTGGGGGCGCGGAAATGGTACGTCCGTGCTCCAGATTGCCAACGCCTCCTGCCACACCCACAACCTCAGCGGTCCTCGCACACGCAATGCCCGTCAAACTGAACGATGGGCAGTTGTGCAAGATGTGTTTCCATGCTCAGGCCCACGATGCATGGCAACAATATGGTGAACAATCAGGACGAGTGATGTGTCACAAGTTCAACCACCACCAACATCACACAATTGGAGAGGGGGGCACAATACGTATGAGCAGTACGACAAGGTCGAAGACAACCAGGCCCGATCTACCACCATCAACACCACCTCACTCACCAAAAAGCAACTGCAAGTGGCATGAGTCCCTAGGAGACGTATCTCGAAGCAGACATGGAACGCAGCGTACGGGTGTTCCAAATCAGCTCGAGCGCTTCCAACACAAATACGTGTAAGGGGGGTGTATTTGAATGAAACTGCACAGAAGCATCGAATGACGGTTACTTGCATGTAACGCTTTACAGACGTATAAGCAGCCAGCCATAAAGGCATCCACACGTCCAAATTTCTTTGTTCCTGGACAGCCAAGACGTTGAAATGAGGACCGCTCTGGGTCCAGAGGGGGCTCTCTGTCCCTTACGCTTTTTCACGGTTATTCCCTCTATCTCTCCTCGTAAGCACAGGTTTTTCTGGGGCCAACAATCGGAAGCCTAGAAGTTGCCACCAATACCAATATCGGCGGTGTGCCTCCACTGAGGGAAGATGCTCCCGACCTCGGCGATGGTGGTAATATTCGGGCTTCCTAGGTGGCCGAAAGTTTACCGCCAAGACCGGAATCTAAGATAGCTCTACCTTGTGGAAGTAGAACCCCTGTGTTGGTGTTGGTGCCCGTTCACAAGCATCCAAAAACAGCGGCTTCGCTCCTCATCTGGCGTTCCTTCAGCTCGTGCATCGACTGCACCGTCGAGGAGAAAAGGCCCCCCGGACCCCCGACGGCATGTCCTCGTCACAGCGTTGACCCCCGGAGGCCTCGACCCCTTCCCTCGCACCGGCGTTTCATCCCGAGCCGACTCTTGCCTATGTGACTGCCCCATACGTGGGGTTCTATAGCATCCGATTCATGGGACAAAGAGACGTCCAAGTCCTTCGACGATGGATCCTCTACTCCCACGTCTTATGTCCCATCTACCCGTTCATGCGCACTGCATGGATATGCCATGGGTTGCTATAGTTTATGGCTGGCGTAGTCTATGGTACGGCTTCCCATCTCGCTTTCGGTTTCAGGGCCCTTACAGGGGGCCTTGGGACCGACCCTCCGAGGGGGCCCCCGGGAAGCGTCACCGTTCAAGACAGAAACCCGCCGTGATCATTTACGACCCCGTCGGCGAGGACGACTTGGGACGACCTGCGGTAAGACGGCGACGACAAGGAAGAGGACGAGGGCGAGCGACGAGTGGGGACCACTACGAGGACGACGGGGGAGGACACGGACGAGGACGACGGGGGACCTGCGTTCGCCGACGAGGGCGAGGGCGACCCATGGGGGGCGGTCGCAGAAGAGCCCCGCCCGTCCGCGGCGGCCGAGGTGGGGAGGCCGGCCATCGCGGGAACCAGGCCGCCGCGCGGTCGTCGTCGTCGTCGTCGTCGTCGTCGTCGTCGTCGCCGCCGTCGCCGCCGTCGTCGTCGTCGTCGTCGTCGTCGTCGTCGTCGTCGTCGTCCTCCGAGTCATCCTCCGAGTCGTCCTCAGAGTCCTTAGGGTCCTCAGCGTCTTCGCCGTCGTCCTCCCTCCCTCCCTCGCCGTCGCCCTCGTCGTCTTCGCAACACGTGCCGAGACACCACGGACGTTTCGTCAGGAGTGTCGCGCGCAGGTCGGGGAGGAGGCAGGAAAAAGGGAGCACCAGGGAGGGAAAGAAGGAAAGAGGGAGCAGAGGAAACGGTTAGGGAGGCAGAAGAGGAAGAGGAAGAGGAGGAGGAGGAGCAGCAGCAGCAGGAGGAGGAGGAGGACGAGAAGGAGGAGGAGGAGGAGCAGCAGCAGCAGCAGGAGGAGGAGGAGGGAGGATGAGGAGGAGTAGAGGGAGGACTGAGGAGGTGAGGGGAAGGGAGGAAGGGTGGGGGAGGAGACAGGGGCCGAAGGAGGAAGAGGGGAGGGAGCGAAGGAGGAAGGAGGGACTTGGAAGGAGGAAGGCATGGAGGGTCATGGTGTCAGAAGTTTACACCTCCTGTGGACAACGTGTCTGTGCAGAAAGCGAACTATGTCATACATACTGACGGGGGGACTCGTGCAAACAAGTGCTCTTCTTCAGCGTGGTATGTCGAAGCCCACGTGCAGCTACCGAGTGGGACTGTATCGTTTCCTATCTGCATGGCAGGACGATTTTTCAGCACACCAATTTCTTCCTTTACTGCCGAGGCCATAGCATTGGAAGAAGCAGTAGACCTGATATGGGAGCTTTTGAGAACATGATCATGTGATGCTTACCTTGCAACGTCAGTAACAGGCCAGTGCAATCGCGCTTCATGCCTCCGGAAAGAAAGAAAGGAAGGCATGGAGGGATGGGGGGAGGGGAGATGGGCGGACGAGGAGCAGCAGCAGCAGCAGCGGGCCCCCACCCCTCCGCGGAGGCCAGCTGGAGCGCCGGTGCGCCGCACCGCCCGCGGCTGCGGCCGTCCAGTCGGGGGGGAAGAGCGTGCGCGGAGGAGCAGACCGCGCGGGGGGGGAGAGCGGCGATTCCTCCTTTGTTGAATATCTTGTTTGAATGATACATGTCGTTCTCTACCTTCTCCTTCTCTTTCTCCTCTTCATCCTTGTCCTCAGCCTCATTCTCCTCCTACTCCTCCTTCTCCTCCTCCTGATTCTTGATTCCTGACGGCGATGGAGTCTTCAGACGCAGCCGCTTCCCCCAGGGAGGCTGGGTTGGGCCCCCTTGGGGGAGTAGAACAAACATGAGATGATTAGGGATCGAGGTCCCGCAGACAGGAGGGTTGAGGAGAAAGGAACAGAACGGGAGAAAAGGAAAGGAGGGTGGGGGGAGTTGGCAGCGGCGTGAAAAGGGTGGCGTCGCAACGGCACAGAAGGTGGGTATCGGCTCTTGGGCCGTGTGGTGTTGTGGCTGCGCCAGGTCCCCCCTCCTGTGAGTCGCCTGGCCCTGCTGGGCCAGCGATCTGGAGGGTGCCCTGGGTCCCCCTCCGCTGAGGTGCCCACATTGGTCTCCCGCCAACTGACATGGCTGTTGGAAGCAGGTTCAGAGTGAGAACGGCAGAGGTTGGCGCGACAGGTTGCTAGACAGAGCAAAGAGGTGGCCGCAAGTCAGGCAACTGAAGGTTCGAAGGATATGACAGAGTCAGTAGGTAGAGGTCAACCTGGAAGTGCCAGGGCAAGCGTGCCGTGGGATGTGTACGCTGGTGGCCTTGTTCACGCACGGCCAGGGGGAAGAGGCAAGGGCCTCTCCATCTGCTCAGACGAAACCGCAGCAGGCGTCCCCGAGGCAAGCGGCGGGATCCCTCGCCTGCGAGCAGGCGTAGGGTGCCGCCCAGCACGTCTGTCTCGGGGCCGCCTGGGGGGGGGTCCACCGAGCGTGATGGAGGTTTGCGCCTTCCTGCTGGTAGCCACGCTCGCCCTCAGGCCAACCGTTCTCGCCAGGCGGTGGCGCTCTGGGAGTGGCGGTGGCTTGGCAGCAGCGCGAGCCATGCTCGCTAAGGTAGATGGCAGATTGAATCTGCCCCCTGCGTGTTGGAAAACACCCTAAGCAGCCAGCGTCCACATGGCTGGTGTCCTTCCCCGCCGAGGCAGCAGTTGAGTACCCAGCTCACGGGAGTGGTGGCTGCTTGGATGGGGTTCAACCATGCGTGGGGGTGGTTTCTGCCATCTTTAACTTTGGCACGGGATGGCGTGTCCTCTCCCCTACAACCCTTAATTCACCCCCCACCGTTAGCTAATAGGGCGTACGACGTGTGGGAGTGGTGGGAAAGTGTGGGACAGGCGTGAGCCGTTGAGCCTACTGCCGCGCGGCTGCGGCCGCCTAGGCCTTCGCCAGGGCGGTTTGTAAGAGTTGCCCTCGCTGGGTAGTTTGCTGCTGTGTGGCCACGGCCACCCAGGACTTCGCCAGGGCGGCCTGCGGCGAGTCCCCTCTTTGTCCCCCAAAGCCATACAACTCACCCACCCCTCCCTTCACCACAGGAGAGGGAGAAGATGAGGAGGTAAGTAGGTGGAGAGCGGAAAGAGACGGGATCGCAAGAAGGTGAGCCGATAGGGAGCGGAGGTTGGCAGAGCCTTCGCACGTTGTGGGTGAGAATGCCCCTCGGGGGCCCACGCGTTGCCTGTAGCAATGATGTACACGTAAGTGGGTGAGCAAGTTCCGTATGGGACCCACACTGATCGCAGTCGCCATTGTTGCTCACGCTGTAGACTACTGCCGTAGAGAGGGTCGCATCCCATACCACCAGCTGTGCTTCTTCCATCAGACGGCGAGTGCGTACGTGCCGGTAAAAAACATGTTGAGCAGAGATTGGGATGAGTAGATGGCAGTTGGCGGTCCTGTCTGCTGTGAGGCAAGGAGTAGCTAGGCGAGGATATAGCTCATTGACTGGCCGCCGTTCGGCGTGTCCGATCGCGAGGGTTGCCTCGGTGTTGTGAGCGATCAGAGGGGGGTATCCTGTTTCGCCGTAGTTTGGTCGTGTTGGTCGCGCTGATTCGCTTTGACGGCGTCTGCGAAGGTCGGTCATGGTTTCCAGTCGGGGCCGTAGACTGGTAAGGCCTCCTTGTCCGTCTTCGGCTGGTTGCTCTGATCATGTGCCATGGTGGCTGTTGGCTGGGGTTTCAGCGGCTTCCATCGGCGAGACGTGTGGGACACGTCCCGTCCTGCGTTGTGGTCAATGATCGCGTTGCGGATCGTAGCTGCTGGCCTGCAGTCGTCGTTGGTGGTGATTGTGTGTGTGTGTTTCTTTTTCTTTTTTCTGGTGCTGTTTTGTTCTGTTTTGTCCGCGGTTGATGTGGCGTGGCCCACTGGGGCTGCCCCGAGAGGAGGCGCACGACTCGGGCCCAGCGTCGCACACATGCGGGGGCATGTGCGAGCCCCTCCAGGCCAGGCCGCTAGCGGCCGCGAGGGATATCATCGACGACGCGCTGCTAGACCAGATGCGAACACCATGACCATTGCATCGCCAGGTCGCCGATCGACTCCTCCTTTGCTACAACCCCATTGTCGGGGGAGCGTAAGACCTGGGTTTGCCAGGACTCGGGTTCGCCATCGTTTTTTGACGACCGCGCCTCGGATTTTGACGAGGAGGAGTTTCGTGGGATGTCTGCAGCGGGAGGCCTCGTCAACATGCAGGCTCGGCCTCGTCATTTTTTTGACGACCTCGTCGGGGATTTCCGAGTCCCCTGTACCCAGGTCTTACGTCCCCCTGACATTGGGTCCCGCGAGTTCCCCGGCGAGTCTCGCGCCGTGGCATCGATGCATCTGCACGAGACTCGAGACGCATGCGCTTGGTACAGTGGCGTCTGGGATGAGGAAGCCGAACGGCTAGCATCGTCGTCAATCCCGCGAGACACAGCGCGGCAGATCTTCTCAGTTCGGGAGGCCAGGCGGAAGCGAAGGTCATCGTTTAATGTATCGAAGGTGGCGGCTACGACAGGGCGCGGGCGCGCTTCTTGCTCGCCCTGGTAATGCTGCCCTTCGAGACTGCCCAAACCCTGGGCGTCAGAATCGTGTAAGATGATGAAGCCGCCGTCGCCGAGCCACCCGCCTGGGGCAAGAGCTTCGGGCGCAAGCGGCTGCCCAGCGATTGCGTCGCCGGCGGCCGCGAGATCAAGCGGCCCACGGTCAAGCCGCTGCTGACCCGCGCCTCAAGAGGCCATTCGCTTCAGGTGATCGAGCCGCCCGCCAGGCATCAGCGCGCGGCCGTCGCTGCGCCGCTCGACGTCGCACTCTCGATCGAGTCGACGGCTGGGGGCGCGGCGGCCCCCAGAGAAGGACCTCAGTGTGACGAGACAAAGCCAGTGCCTCAACATCCTTCCCACTCTGAGGTCCAAATACCCGGTTATCGACGAATGTGTCGTCGAAGCTGGGGAGGACATCGTCGGCGGGGCAGTCGACGGGGCAGTTGATCTGGTCCGCCCAGGCGTCGAGATGACGCGCGGAGAGCACCCGCGCTGGCTTAGGCCGAGCGGCTGGTCAAGGGAATGCAGCGCGCAGAACTTTGATGCGAGCGTCGTCCACTTGGGCGATCCGCGTGCCCTGTCAGGTTCGTGCGTTGCGACGGTCTCGTCTCGAATCTCCCACGCGGCTGCTGTTTGGGCCCTCCCAGATGGCGAGCTCCCCGCGGAGTTCTGTCTCAATCTGGCCGATGCGCATCATATCTCCAGAGTTATCGCCGCTGGCACCGTCGCCCCAGCAGCGTCGTGGGCCCTGGCCCATGACTGGCGGGCCCGCGACGCGGAGATTGACCCGAGGACCGGGTCTGGTTGCATGAGTTGGATTTAACCGCATCGGTGTTTCCGAAGAGGCCGCGGCGATGACAACGACGCATTTGCGCCGGCGGAGTTCAAGGCGAAGCTGCTCCTGTCCCCACCGTGGGATGATGGATATCTCGTCTGTTCTGGAGCGTGCTTAAATCGCTTGGGAATGCTCCGCTATTATCATTGCCGCGCGCACGTGTCCTCCTCGCCAGAGGCACAGGTGCCCAATTTCCTGGCTCCGGCACATCAGTGGCGCGTGACAGGATTTGCCAGGGTGGTCGGAGGGGGAATCGACCAGGAGTCTGGGGGCTATGCCCCTGGCCCCCCGCCGAAGGCCACGAGGGCGCCTCTGCCGTCTGCCGGGCTGGGCAACTGAAGAAAAGGGGCAAGACATGGAAGGGCCAGCGGGCCCAGTCTGAAGCCTCTGCAGCAGCCTTCAGTCGCAATCCAGCCCTGCAGGGCAGACCTGCGTACCGGTGCAACCTTGTGACCGCCCGCGCACGGCGCCCGACGTCTTCGTGAGGACACGGCGCCAGACGGTCGGAACGCCTGCCGACAGCAGGAGGCGCAGAAAATGGGGAAGCCCTGGGCCCCGTTCCAGGCGCGCGCCGACACTCCCGCCGCGGGCTTTGGCGTTCTCGGGCCTTTCGATTCGGGCCGGGGCCGCCCCTGGGATGTCGAGGCCGATGAACCATCGATTGGCTGGGAGCAGCGGTTCGCCCAACTCCGCCCCCTTGAATTGCCCCCGACGCTCGCTGACCTGAGGCCGGAAATGGAACGGGAGCTGGAAGTGCGTTGGGGGCCGCTGGAAGATGTCGACACTGCGGCTGCTCAGGACGGGGACCCGGCATCTGCCGGCTGCGTCGTCAGTGCCAGGGGCTCTCGCGGCCGCGGCAATCAGGGCGAGAAGCGCCCGCCAGCGACCCGGCCCAAACCCCGCCCGTCGACGGCGCGCGCGACCGCCAGAGAAGAACGGCAAGGAAGCGCCAGAAATGAAGGATTGAAGCGCCGTGGATGTCAGGGATTACAGAATCGCCAGGCTGCCGCGCGCCGCCGAGAGGCGAAGCCGATGCTGTGAAAGTATATCGCAGGCCGTCGATGTCTGCCGCAGCATCATCGAGATCTGCCCCAGGACCCCCGGCGGGATGGCGCCAGCGCGCGGACGTGCGATTGAGGGCTGC